TCTTGAACTGCATCATGCCTTCCCCCTGGTGACTTTCAGGGAACTGAGACAGAGACCTCTCTCAGGCTGTGCATCCCAAGGCTATCCCTAAACTTTAGTCAAAGTTGCCAAGGCTCCCCTGGCACCAGTGAGATGCACATATCCTTCACAGAGCTAAGGTGGACAGGTTCACTCCTCTGGTGCTGTTGATGTTCATCCTTGTCACTTCTGTGAGGCTGGGGATAAAATCTTCAGCTGCAGCCCCCAAAATTACTCTTAAAGCAGAAGCACTCTCCAGGTTTTGAGGTCTGAATGTCCACAGTTAACCAATACCACCAGTGCCTTTACGCAGCAGCACTTACTTTATCTGATAAAGATCCTATTTGTAAAGAGTTCAGAATAAGCATAGCTCTCTCATTTCTCACCCCTGCCTCCCAGACCACCGGGGACAACATTCTTTCAAGGTTTTTAATAACTTTGTCTGGAACTTATATTCCTTTTACAGAAGAGGGCTCATCCGAGGGAACACGATGAAAGTACGAGCTTCCAGACAGTGATGCCAGTCTCCAGAGGGTGATGGTAACCACTCACACAGACCCCACAGCTGCTGAAGACACGCTCCTCTGCTGTAGGTCAGCACTGACTGCCCAGAACCTGAGCAGTGAGGCTTCTTTCTCCTCCAGGCAGCTACAGAAATTCCAGCCTCGCAAAATAGTGTGATTTTGTCTGTTTTCATGTTTAATGCAAATTAAACATCAATAACTATGGACTGAACCCCTAGCCCAAACTTCTAATTCTGCAAATAAGCAAGCAATCATTGATTCTGTGTCCCACTCTGGCTGAAAGGTAACTCTTCCTCCCTCTTAATTAATAGCCTTCTTCAAATTCCAGCAGTCTTCATGTAAACATCCCATCATATAGGTTTATCTCTACTAAGTTAATAATTCAAAGCCTTTAGGCTTATGAGGAAAATAAGTAATGAACCTGGGTGAATAAAAGTCATCAGTGTTATTTAGTTGGGTTACGAATACAAGTTATGAGTTGCTATTCACTAAGTAAATTAATTTGTTACTTTTATTGTGTTTGAGTACTCCCTCCAAGCACATAATTTGAAAATTCCCATTTCAAAAGTAGAATTTCACATTTATTGCTACTTTTAGTTCAGAAGTTTGGGCTGGTACTTCTTATAAGAGAGAAGACATTGCCCTTTGAAGACCAAAAGGGATTGTTAAGTAAAAGCTACCAAACAAAAAAGCCTTTGTAGCTACTGCTGTCAAATTTGAAAGATTTTTTTTAGCTTAGACAGCATGACAGTAACACACCTGGTTATATTTTACACCACTAGTATAGACTGGGCAAAGAATGGATCGAGACTAGTCCTGGGGAGAAGGACTTGGTTGTAGACGAAAACCTCAACATGAACCAGCAATGTGCACTCACAGCCCAGAAAGCCAGCTGTGTCCTGGGTTGCATCAAAAGCAGCATGGCCAGCAGGGTGAGGGAGGCAGTTCTGACCCCTTACTCTGCTCTGGTGAGACCCCACCTGGAGTACTGCATCCAGTTCTGGGGTCCTCAGCACAGGAAGGACTTGGGTATGTTGGAGTGAGTACAGAGGAAGGCCATAGAGAGATGCTTAGAGGGGTGGAGAACCCTTATATGACAAAAGGCTGAGAGAGTTGGGGTTGTTTAGCCCAGAGAAGAGCAGGTTCCAGTGAGACCTTATAGCACCCCCCAGTACCCAAAGGCAGCCTACAAGAAAGCTGGAAAGAGATTTTTCACAAGGGCCTGCAGTGACAGGACAAGGAGAAATGGCTTCAAACTGAAGGAGGGCAGGTTTAGATTAGACATTAGGAAGAAATTCTTTACTATCAGGGTGGTGAGGCACTGGAAGAGGTTGCCCAGAGATACTGTGGAGTTCCCATCCCTGGAGGTATTAAAGACCAGGCTGGATGGGGCTCTGAGTAACCTCATCTAGTGGAAGGTTCCCTGCCCATGGCAGGGGAGTTGGAACATGATGCATGTTAAGATCCCTTCCAACCCAAACCATTTGGTGATTCTAGACAGGGACAGAATGAATTCTTCATAAAGCTATGCTAGTAAGGGAGCTGTTCAGTAAGTCCCTACTGTTTTGTACCTTCTACTGTATGCAGACCTTAGTACAAAACTATCATCATTTCACAAGTGAAATGCAAAGAAAATACAAAAGTTCAATCACTGAAAAAACAGTGAGTATATAGAACAAGCTTAATTTAGTTTACTCCATAGAGAAATTATAGCTTATTGAATTTTTTTGTACTGTATGTTGACTCACATAGAAGATTAAAAACTCTTGAGGGGCTTTATCCTTAATTCTGTAAACATTCTTGAATGTAGTAAGTACTTAAGGGCTCACAAAAGAGAAAGAGGTGATGTCTATACTAAGTGACCATTCTTGGTAAATTATTCTTCCAAATTAAGTGAAATTTTCAAATTCAAGAAGAATGATCTTAAAAAAAACCAAAAAACACAAAACCAACCAACAAACAAAAAAAGCCCAAAACCAACAACAAAACTAAAAACAAAACCCAAAAAGTAAACCAAACAACCAAAAAACAAAAACCCAAACAAACAAAAAAACCCACAGAAAATCAACAGAGGTAAATCAACGAAAGCAAATAATAGATATAACCAACATAATTTTTATTTCTAATAGGTAGCCTTAGCTGCAGAGAAAAGAATCCAGACTTTGGACAACTAGGGTTGCTTTCCCTTTTTCATTTCCATCAGATGTAAAAAAGCATGCATCATCTTTATGATTAAAGCTACTGTCCTGATAAACAAAGGTTGTGACCACAGTGAAGTCTGAAAGCTCCCCACCCGCCATGACTCGTGCACACAGAAGACACAGGCCATGAAGCTTTGGCACTTATCTTCATGGAGACACAGCAATCTGTATCCCTCATATCTTGACCAAATAGGCAAGACAAATAGCTATTCAGTCCTATAATAAAAAACAAACAAAAAACCCCCACAAAAACACTTAAGACAACAAAATGAAGGGGAAAAAAAAGTTTTATGTGCCAAACTTCAGTTGAACTCCTTCCCCTCCTTTCTGCTATTTCAAAAAACATTGTATTGTCTCTAGCAGAAGGGATATGTCCCTACTGGCACTTGTGGTAGGCACAGGAGTCTGAGAGCTGATCCAATCCAGCTCAAAATTCCCTCTGAGCACTGACAGTTCTTCAGCCTGGTTGTGTGAAAGGCTGACAGCATCTGCAGCTGACAGCTATTGACAGAGCAACGGAATGAGTGGCCTGGCACACATCCATCTTCTTTTATTTCCCCTGACCCTGTTGATAAGGGTGTAGTAGGGAAAGTGAGGCAGGATCAATCCAACATGAAGCTGGACTGATGGGGTCATTCTTCAGAATGAGCCTGAAGCAATGTTCAAATCCATATCCCAAACAGCAAAACAAAATTCACCTTCACAGGGTATGTTTCTGCTACCCAAATCAGTGTGGTTTTTTTCAGTTTTTCCTCTTCCTTCTGAAACCCCACCTTCAGGTATTACTAAGTAACATCCTGCATCCCAGTTTAATTCACTATAATTGTTATCTATGTTGACAGGGTTTCCTTCCTTAAGGAGGTGTTGTGAAGATTACATTCACAAGACAGGCTGCAACTGCAGCACAGAGAACCAAGGGATATTTTGCCAGCAAAACAAGAAACCCTCTTCAGGGCATGTCTGGGAAAGAGACATATCTGCAATATGAGCTGCATGTGGAACACAAGGCTTAAAGTTCAATATAAACAGCAGCTTCAATCACCACCTTTGCTTCCACTGCTCAATGATGATTTAGGCAGAGGTCTTGTCCCCTTCATGCAAAGAACAGTAATCTTTTTCATATAGGTATATAACTGTACATAAAACACAGGCTGTGGTACTTTCTTTAACAGGAAGGAAATGGTGTAATGGTGTTCTTCAAAAAGTATAAAGCTGTACAGGTATTTAACTAGAAAATTCTGTGGAAAAACTCCCTTTTAAGGATTTTCTCTTGTATTCTTAAGACCTAAAACTTGCATAAAGCAATAGGAATTTTTGGACACACAAGAACTGCCAGTATTGACCTTGAAGATATGGGTTAAAAACAAAAAAAAAAGCATTACAAGAAAGCAAAATATCTTGCTCCAAAACCTGCACTTAACCTTTTCTTGATGAAAATAGGAGTGACCTGAAAATGGACATAATCTTCCCTCTTTAATCAACAAAACAAAGACAAAACACCAGAAATAATTACAATTCCTAAGGCAAATTCTTTCTACATCTGCTTTAGGCTATTTTGACTGTATCATTTATGTACTCTAATTATTTTGTGCATTAAATACCATAAATATCCCTGTTGATTTGTGATCTATTTATGGGTTCCAACATACAGCTGTATTTCATTTGGTTGAGAGGATATTCTGCAAGTAGGACTTGTGCACCAATGTACTTCAGAGACAATTATTATTTATGAATAACCAGTGAGGCTAACAGCTTTTCCCTATATTATACTTCAATTTTATGTCTGTGTACCTATACCTAACTATATCTCTGTAGGAGAAAGGAAGAATATTTGCTAATGATTTACTTTGAAAGCAAGTGACCAACCCTTTAGCTTCATGTGGAAAGAAACTTTGCCATCCTTTTGTAACACACAAAATACTTCTGTAAGCAAAGAAACCTTTGCAATTTCTTCAGAGACAACAGATCCTTCTCAAAGACAATACTAGATTCATAGCAATATTTTCTCTCTCCTTAGGAGTAAGCCCCCTCCTCAAATCAGGTTAACGTACTGTACATATAACACATTCAGTATTTCTCCATTTTGTGTGTGTATTTGGGGTTCTATTCATCGCTGCCATCTGCAAAAGGTATTTTATTTGAATGGCATGCACATAACACATTCGGCTTACCACATCAGAAAAAGAAGAAGAGTTAGTACTGAAGAAAAACTTACGTATTTCATAAAAGGACACTCATACAAGATACATCCACTTACCTGTACTAGTGCGATATGTGCCGGTGTGTGCTGGTTGCAGAGGGTCCCCCTGACTCTGGCTGAGACTCCTCATAGGGGGTTTCTGATAAACTCTGTCTTCGTAAATAGGGTCTATATGGTGTTCCGGAGACTGCAGTGCCCTTAACTCGGAGCCAAGGTGGCTGTGCTGGCTGCTGTAAGATGCCCGAGACCCAGCTGCAAATAGATTCATAAAAGACATTTAAGAGAGAAAAAATAAGTGACAATATTAAAAGTTTACTTGAAAGTAGCACTTAAACACAAAAATAGGCCCAAGCAAGACTAAGTGTTTTCAACATTCAAATAGAAACAGCATGCAAGGGTAGCAACAGCTTCACTTAATCACTTTAGTTGCTTTATCCAGCTGCCTGCATCTATGATACCATCTCTTCTTAAACAGAGACCAAAAAAACTACCATCGCCTCTCAAAAAAAGGGAACCCCTACCCCTAGACATTAAAACCCAAAAGTTACACAAACCCAGGTATGCCCTCAACTAAACGGGTCCACAGAAGAACCAGGACTGGGGGAGGTAGGAGGGTTGGGGTGAAAAAAAAGAGCAGCAGTCAGAACTAGTTTCACATGTAATGCCCAGATCTGAAGATCTACAAATGAAATTAGCTGAAGTTGATGAATGGATGTAGTTTTACACCAAGGCTGATCTTTTGGTTGCTTCACTAAAGTGGAATAGAATGGTTGTGCCTTATCAACATTTTGCCCTCAACATTTAAAAAAAATTAAATTCCCAAGACTTTCTACAACTGAAATATCCTCTGAGGATGAATAAATTAAACATGCCTCCTGGAAAAACTTTAAGGATACAGGTTTTTTTTCTTATTCTACTCTTAAATATTTTACATTATAGTATTTAAGAAAGAGACTTGTATATTTCCAGCTGTGATTAGTTTTGTCACTTCAATCCTTTTACCACTCAGGTACTTCAGCTCTGTGGTCTGTTACCGAGATTCCCAAGGAGAGTCATGGGGATGCCATACAAACATTACACATTTTGAAGGTAAGTATCAAGTAAGTATACAAGAAACACTTCACAAACATTAGGTCTACACCACAAAGTGGTGTAGATACTTAAACGTTTAGAAAAGCAATCAAAGTTACACCTATTATACCCCTTGCTGATAGTCCTCTGAAGCTGAAATCCAGGATGTGGGTAATGTTCTACTGGTTTAGCTTGCACTGCTCAGACCATTGCTGTAGCCTTGCCTGTTGAAAATTTCCACCACAGTCATTGTGTTGGCAGTGGTTTTGTTGCATAAACAGACACTGAATACTTTTACAATGCAAAACACGGATATAATGTAAGGTGTGAGAGCAATATAGGATAGAAATGAGAAAGATATACAGACACAACATTACTTAAACTTTAATACAAATTGTCTGGAGGAAAAGAATAATTTATTCCATTTCCTTCTTTCTAATCAGCTTGTGCCATATATGTGTATTCTTCTGAATTTTTCAATATTTATGCATGTTTTCAGTGGAGTGCCCTATTTGCATATTTTTCCCTTCAAGCATTTTTCAGACTGACTTGCCCTTAGCACACTTCTGAAAGTAATTCTGTTGTTCCCCTTACTAGAAAGTCTGCCAAGAATCCCTAAGACATATTTTATCTATAACTACAGCAATTATCCAGAAAGCTGATATTGCTATTACAGAATTAAATTCTTCATGGTCTACATTTTCAAAATGTTCTTTAACCCTGCACCCTTGAGACTGATTCTCAGAATACTTGAACAGCTCTCATCAAAGTCTAGTATCCTTCAGAGTGGCCTAAAAAACAGCCTGTTACGGTCATGTCCAAATTTCAGTGCATATTTGGCTCAATCTGTATCCAGAGGAACAAATACAGCAAATTAAGGGCAGTATTTCAGACACTGAACAACACTGGGATCAACAAACCAGACTTCCTACAGAGTGAAGAATTACACACCCATCTAAGAGTTTTACAATTCTTCTGTCCACTTAAAAATTAAAAATACTTTTTGGAACAATAGACTTTTTTTTTCTTAATCCTGTTTCCTGTGATCTGAAAGATTTTTCCCATTGAATTTAGTGTCAGTATAACCCAGATATTAACATGTTTTCAAACAGTGGTGGTAATCTTCTCGAGAGGTGGGCTTTATTCAACCTCCTTCATACTCTACCAATAGTTCTGAATCTGCAAGTGCTAATACTAGTCTAACACTAAATTGAAGCTTAGTATTAGTTTATTATGCCAATATTAAAAAGAGGTTTATTTGCAAACTGCATGTGTGATTAAGACTGTAACACTACTGTACTAAGCAGCAAACATATGTATAACCAGAGAAACTTCTTCATCAAAACACATTACAGTTCAAGCAAATAAGACAAGGAAGATGTGACAAACATTAAAGAAAACATCACTTGCCCTAAACCAGTTAAGTGGCAACCTAAAAATAACTTGAAGTCATCTGAATAACAAGGTTATGGCTGAACATCCCCCAAAAAAGTTTCAAGAGTTAAAACTCTCTCAGGGAATAACTGCCACTATTTCTCTAACATTTCAAGAAAATTAAGATTTCAACAGGTAACTAAAATATTTTCATTTTAAATACAAACCCACTTTAAAATTTCAGAAATTTAGGCCAACAGAATGTGAGTATACTTTTTAAAGCATGTCTCCTAAATGTGTTCAGTTTCAAGGAAAACTGATATTTTCCCCATGAGCAATTTTAATACACTACTTCCAAATTATCAGATATCAATATTAAAACACAAAATACTAACAGCCTTTGAAGTTCTTACATCTAGTTAAAAATAAAAAAAAAAAAAGAAGACTTATAAAAAGGAGTATCACCATTATAATTTTTAATGTTTCTATTAAGTTGGTATTTAAAAAACTGGAATAGCAAGTTGGTTTTGGTTAAAAATTCTTTTCCATTGCTCTTAAAGTTTTTACATATATTAACTTATTCAAGTCTCAACTGAGAAGCAACAGGGTTTTATTGTGCATTTTCTTTAAATATTAAAATCAACTAACCAATAGCTGTTATACCAACAGTTGTCTTTGTTGCCGGTGCTATATTGTATCCAGGAAAGGTCACACAGATAACTTATGGATTTCAGACAACTGCATCATGCCTCAACCACACACACAGCCCTCCACCCTATTCTGCTGCTTTGGAAGACACTAGAAAAACAGTTAAGAGAATTGATCAAAATAAAGATCATGAATTCAAAGAACTGATGTACTGAGAAGGAGAGAGGTATAACATGCCTCCTGCCTGTATCTTGTGTTAGCAGCAAACAGCTACATCCTTTCCTATTTGGAGCTGCAAGCTGATCTGTATCACTGGCTTCAAAAAAACTTTCATTGATGCAGTCTAAAGATCACAGAGGTTGGAAAAGCAACAAGGTCAGAATGGAAATGCAGCAATCAATATATTACTAGGAAGCAATAAAACATCGATCTACAAGGCCCACAAGCCCTCTCATACTGAGGGAGGTCGAGAAGTGGTTTCCCTAAACCTAGAGGCACTACGAATGCATGACTCACCCCAAATTGCACTCATCCAAACCCTGTTCTCAACCAGCTGCCATCCCATACACTGCACCTCTCTGGGTTGCTTGAAATCAAAGCAGTGATGCCACACACATTTCTCCTGCATATTCTGAAAATGGATTCTTCCCCACTCATTGGCCAACCTGCCTTAACAGCAATACTATTTTTCCCTTGGAGAACTATAAGACATCAAGCTCATTCACAGACAAGTCTACTTTCAAGTTAAAAGTCAACTCATTAACAAATTTTCAATCCTGCAAGTTGTTAATTACAGATTATGTATCTAGCATCAGAGTAGACCCAGAACTTTTATGATCATGGTTGTGGAGAAGTGGGGTTTTTTTTCTCCCTTCTAGATTAATGAAAAAAACAAGCAAACAAATCCAAACCCATTGAGAAGATCTAAACTGTTACATAGGGGTTCAAGAAACCATCTGATTATTAATTCCTCCAATAGTCCAATTGTGTTTGACAAAACACTGGGAAATTATTTAATTGCAATGCTGGAGATGCATCACAGCAGAAGGTATAGAGAAGATTATAAGGCTATAAAACAGCTGCCAAAGCCATCACAATTAAAAAAAAATATTTTTTTTTTTTAGCAGAAACTTACTAACTGTAAGAACAAAAGCATACAGAAGTCTTCTCTGTGTTCTGAAGTCTCCAAGACTGAAACCTGAAAGGTGAAATGCCCCTTCTGCATCTCTGTGGAGCTTGTAAGAGTAGTCTGTGGTCAGGTTTCAGCAGGGATATTACGTGAGCCCCCAGCCAGGTGAATTGGATTAGGGCAACAATGATAACCTGAGAACTGGCCAGACAAAAATACACTTTCCTACATGCAGTGGTATTTGCTCCCTTTTTACATTCAAGAGCAGCAACAGAAAGAACCCATGAAGAGTGCAGTCCTACCTAATTGGATCAGTAAGTCACATCTCCCATGTTTTACACTTAAAACCCACCAACCTGCTAGCTAGAGGTTTCCACATAATTCAGATAAGTTCCTCAGCAGTATAGTGAAAGTTATTTCCTAGGAAAATATTCATTTTTGATGAAGTGTCACTTTCCAAAGGAACATAAATACTGTAATCAGACAGGTGTGACATAAGTGAAATACATAAAATAATCCCTAATTGCTCTTCAGAGCTTGTGCAGGCTGTCAAGGAAATAAATACAACAGACACATTTGAATGACACAGATAATCTGACAGTTTAGATCAATGAAGTAGACCACTCTATTGGCAGCATTTGTCATTTCAAGGAACTAAAGACATTAAAACTACTCAAATGAATGGATTCACAGGCATTTACATATGCTTTAATAATGCCTTAATAGCTTTTATTTTTGCTCTTTGTGAAAGCCTTTACAAGAAGTCCACCTGCCCTGTAGCAGCCCTAAGAAGAAGCCCTATATGACACTCTCTAAATATCTCTAATAGCAGGAGCATACAGTACTGCCCTCCTCTCCAGGATTAAAGAGCTCATTGGAAGCATGAAATACGCAAGTGATCATCTCAACATTAAGAAAGATATTCAGATTCGACCAGATAAACCATTCAGCCCTAATTTAAAGATCCTCCATCACAAACTACATTGATCAAGAGTCCTGTTAAACATTTCCTTTATGTCTATGGTAGAGT